ATCCGCCAGAGACAGAGTAGGGAACAGAAAATGCAGATTGACTGAAATACACTGCTGAGGGGAGCAGCGGGCTAGTGTGCCTCACCATGTGGGTTTCTCCCTGGCCGGCTGGGGATCGAACTTGTGCTGCAGAGGCTGTTGATTGCTTCATAGTGCAGTGCTTAACCCCTGCACCACCAGGGAGGCCCTGGAGAAATGGTATTCTAAGCTGAGGTAATTAACTATTGTAAAGATCTTGAAGGAAGAGTATTGCAATCAAGAATCGGGGAAAAGAGTCTGGGGGGCCTAAAGCAGAGTGATTGAAAGGGAGAGTCATAGGAGATAAAGTCAGAGAGATAATAGAGCATTTGATAATATTGCCTCAAAGGAAGTTAAAAGGACTTTGACTTTTGGGCCTCCCCTGGTGGCGCAGGTAGTTGAGTGCAGCGCTTTGAAACTTCCACAGCCTCTGCAGTGCTGGTTATATGCCGGCTGGCCGGCAAAGATCACACATGGTGCGGCAGATCTCTCCTGTCACGCCAGCTTCTCCCCTCAGTAGTGTATTTCGTCAGTCTGCCTGTTCTGTTCCCCACTCTGTCTCTGGTGAATCCTCTCACCTTCCCGCCTCCCGCGTATCTGGCCTGTGCCCCAGTTCTTGTATAAATAAATAAATCTTAAAAAAAAAAGGACTTTGACTTTTACCAAGAAATAACTACTAGAACAAAATATTAAGCCTTCCATATTATCAGAAAAAGACATGGATAACTAAAAACAGATCATTTGGTAACTGTTTTTTAAAAGAGCAGCAATAAAAACTGCATAAAGTTTTTATAACATAATATTTGATAACTAAAAGGAGATATAAGTTATATTAATAAAAATAAATACAGTAAACTTCCATTTTAATAAATTTAAACACAATAAACTTATTGAAAGAGTTTCAGGTCATGAAGAAACTCAGGAAGGATCCCAAAATCAAAGAACAATCATGTGCAAACTCAAAATAATACAGGGGTCATGATCTTAATATTAGAGAAGACAGTACAAAAAGCATCACATTATGGTTCATAGGTGATGTGGTGGTGGAATATTTACAGGGACTGCATCTGAGGGGAGAAATCAAATACTGTAAAATTATGAACAACAATGTAAAAATAATTTTTAAATTAATGAAAAAAGAAATGAATAGGGAATATGCTCAAGGAGCATTTTGATTTCTAATTAAGATTTTAAAAAGCATCATATTAGGAAAAAAGGAATTAATGTCATCTCAATTTCAAAACAAACAAAAATCTAGATAACATTTACTGAGCGCCCATTCTATGCCATGTTCTGTTCTAAGTACTACTCATTTAGTCCTCTCAGCAACTTTATATGGTAGGTATTTGTATTAGTCTTTGTCCATTTTTCAGTGAAGAATCCAAGGCACAAGGAGGCTAATAAACTTGCACAAGGTTGCAGTTAGAGTACATTACTGCATCAGAATCCGAACACAGACAGAATGATTACAGATTCTATGCTTGTAACCATGGTGTATTTTGTTTTTGAAACTAACAGGTGTGTGTGTGTGTGTGTGTGTGTGTATGTGTGTAGATGAAAGACTCTAATGTTTATATGGAGAAACAAATAAGCAAAAAAAAAAAAAAAATAGCCAGGAAAAATGTTAAAGGAGAGTAATAAAGGAAATTAGCCCACACGTCCAGATGCTAAAATGGAAAGCTAGAATGTTAGAAACAATGTAGTTCCTCAGACATGAGCAAACATCATTTGAGCTGAATAAAAGTTTAAAAAATTCAAATTCATATAGGTATATAGAAAATTGTAAAGGTAGCATTTCAAATAAGAGGGAAAAGTTAATTATTGATATACGGAACAGCTATATTATCATTAGAAGGGTATTCATTGGATTTCTGCTTCTTAACTTTAAAGAATTAATTCACTAAGATTAATTCTTAGTGAATCGAAAATTTAAAACTGGGGCCTCCCCAGTGGCGCAGTGGTTTGAGCACAGTGCTGTGGAGCTGTCCACAGCCTCTGCAGTGCCAGTTCGATTCCCGGCCAGCCAGGGATTCCCACATGGTGAGGCAGACCTCTCCTGTCTCACCCACTGCTCCCCTCAGCAGTGTACTTAGGTCTTTCTGCCTCTTCTGCTCCCTGCTCTGTCTCTGGTGAATTCGCTCACCCTCCCGTGCCTATGACCTGTATCCCAGTGCTTGTATAAATAATCTTAAAAAAAAATTTTTTAAACTGAAAAACTAAACTAGAAGAAGCCATGGAAAAATTATATAATATTCTCAAAGTAGAGAATGCCATTAATATACATGATGCAGGCCCCTTAAACCTCAAGGAGAATTTATCAGTGATAAACTTGACATAGAACAAAAATTGAATGCCTACAAAAATACCATAAACAAAGTAAAAAAAAATTCCAGTATTTTGTTGATAAAGGGCTAATTTTCTTAATATTTCAGGAAGTTCTACAAAATAATATTCAAAGATCAATAAATAAATTGAAAATTATCACAAAGGATATGAATATTCTTTTCCTAGAAAAGCAAAACTAACACTTAAACAGATAAATATATTTTTATTCTCACTTTTAATGCAAAAAATGCATATTACAACTATGATAAAATACTATTTACCTAAGATATTGGCAGGTCAAAAAGCTTAATGATACATTGTTTAGGAGGACATTTGTTATCAAATACTCATCTAGTGACTAAGAGTGTTCTTGTTGGCTATGTGAATTTGTATGACCGCCAGCAAGAGCAATTTGACAATAGCTTTTACCTTAACTCTCTCTTGAAGTGTTTTATTCTCAGACATCTGTGCTCACATGCAAGATGTTCACTCTAGTATCATGCATAATAATAATAATATAATCAATAAACAGTTGTAAAACTGTGTCACAAAATTTATGTAACCAATGTAAATGTAATTCCATTTAGTCACCAAAAACAATGAGTTAAGGAAAAGAAAAACTGCATGAACAGAGGGACTATAGCATGTTACTCACTTATATTTTAAAAAAATTCCACAAATACATGCATAGAGTCACAAGCTTATATATATATATATATATATATATATATATATATATATATATATACTTCATATATATATGCCAGCTTTGTCCTTCATGGGATACCTGGATTTAACCAGTTATCTCTGGAGAAAACTGAGTATCTGGGCCTCTGGGATAATAATAATATAATCAATATTATATTATTGGAAGATCAATATTAAGTGGAAAAGACTTGTTATTTTACTTAATTTTGGTACTTTTGACTTATATATTTTCTTTACTTATTCAAAAGAAATAAGATAGCCCCTTTTGCACAGAAGATGGAGAGCAATATTGAGACCAGACTAATCCTGATTCTAATATGTAACGCTTAGCAAGTTACTTTCCTTCTGTGAGTTTCAGCTTTCTCATTTGTAGAATAAGGAATAGGTCTAATCTTTCTTTGCCTTCCAGCATTAGTTTTCAAACTATTTCATGGAACCCGAGGATTTTTTGGGTCCCCTTATGGGCTCAAGCAGAACATTGAGATTGTAGGATTTCCCAGCACACCCATCTTTAAACAAGAGCATCCCTGGATCTCTGAGTATGATTGTTTTCAAGTTTAAAAAAAAATTATAGTCTGAAATTGACAGTTCATAGTAAAGGCATTGTATATATTAAAGATTCTCAACGGTGTCAAAACACATTACTGTGTCATGATCAGTTACAAAGTAAGCCTCAAGTAATTTTAAGTGATTATTTCCATTTTTTAATCATTGTCAGCCGCACTCAGATTTCTATGTACTCTCGAGTTAGAAAGGAGGTGGAAATTTGTGTGGGGAAGGATAGAATTGAACTCAGTGGTGAGCTTAATGTAGTATATGCACATGTGGATTTTCAATGTCATACACCTGACAGGTATATAATGTTATAATGCAAAGCAATGTTACTTAAGTTAAAAGGAAAAAAAAAAAAAACACTCTGGGGGAAAAAAAAAGGATGGTGATTAATGATATTCATAGAAGGGATCTAAAGTCTGTTGCATATCATAGTTGTGTTAAGGTATACATTATAGTAGAGTCTTAAGTGATTTTTCTTAGGGTTAATGGAGTGGGATATAGTAAGTCCTCACTTAATGTTAGCAATATGTTTTTGGAAACCATGACTAAGCAAAATAACATATAACAAAATCATATACTTGGTTTAGTTTAACTACATGGGTTAAGATTTTTTTTTTTTAATCATCAATGATACAGCAAAATGCAAATTCAGGTCCTGGTGTATAATACATAGCTCTGAGGCTAATACATAGCTCTGAGGCTAATACATAGATTTTTTTTTTTTAAGTTACTACCATCCTTCTTTTTTTAAATGCTTTCTGGGGGCAAGTAAAATAAGTTTGGCCAGTCAGAAACATGTCAGTATTCTCTCTGAAATTTAATTGTAAGAACCTAAATTCCAGGCCTACATCTACAATGACTTTCTGAGAAATTAATAAAAGCAAATACCAGTTTGAGTTATTTCCTTCTAACAATCAGAAGAGGCAGTGATTTGAACTCATGAAATCTGGTATGAAGTTGAAAACAGAGACAAGAGGAAGTGAAAATAAAGACCAGAAAAGAGTAAATTTTTGATACAACTGCTTAGTAACTGTCTTATACCTAGTAAAAGATGTATAGAGGATGTGCAGGTCTGAAAACCAGCAGGAGGAAGAAACAGAAAAGTTTAGTTTAGATTTAGTGGCACTGTAAGCTAATATTAAATGATGAAAAGAATCTGTTTGATATGTGCGTATGTAAATGTGTTTGTATGAAATCTTAAACACAAACCAAAATGCTTAATCACCATTATCTTAGGATAGTGGGAGTCTGTGAGGCTTTTATTTTCTTTTATTTGTAATTTTAAACTTTTCTACAAATGTTAAGTAATCAAAAACATTATTATATACATATATATGCACATAACATTTGTTGCTCTGTTCTGACAGTAGATGTGTTATTTTTGTACTTTCTAGGTGCACCAGAGGCTGTCTTCTTGGCAGAATTTGGGAGTTGTTTATTGCAGCACTGTTGTGCCCTCTGATGGTGAGTTTTAGCAAATCCAGTAATATCTATTATGAGCTTCCCTCCACCCCCTACCTTAATTCAGTGTTTCCCATTCTCTAACCAGCATATAAATTTATATACCATACTCTTTCACTTAAGATGGACTTAGAGAAAGAATGGAAGGCTAAAGAAGAGAAATAAAATTTGAATGAGGATTTAGTGAAATTAGAGGACATATCAGTGAAAAAAACTAATAGACCCCTCAAATTTTCATAGACCATGGAATATTATTTTCACTTATGTTTGAAAACTAGGGACATATTTACTATGAAAGCCATAGAGACACTATCTTTGGTATTTCCTAGTCCTTGGGTCTTCATATTATGGATAATAATCAAACACTCCAGCTCCTTCATGCCACTCAATCTTAGAAGCAATTCAAAGTCTGAGACCTCCTGCTCTTGTTTTTTTTCTTCCCATAGACTCAGGACTATAAAACTCTTTTTTGATATGGGAAAAGATGAACAGCCACTTGGGAACTATATCTAGTCTTTGTAAATGTATGAGATGTTGCCAACTGGCAATGGTATCTAAATTTTAGTTTTTATAGTAGTAGAGGAGATATATTTATAATTCTTGTCAGTATTGCACATATACACTTTAGATCATTTGCTTGGAGTTCACAAATATTCTTTTGTGTAAAGTTTAGTTTGAGAGAACTAATTTCAACCTTATAAACATTAATTCATATGTAGTGTCTTCAAAAGAGCATCGTGCAAATTTATAAGGACTCTTGAAAATGAAAAAACCCCAAATGAATTATAAAAGCCCTAGGAAACCATTTATTTAACACTAGATATTTACAGTATTATATAAGACTCCCCTCCCCGCAAAGCTGTTTAATTATCTGACTTTATAGAGATGCTTGTATTTGCTAACTCTTTTAAACTTGCAGGAAATATTTGTTTCTGATTATCCATTTGTAATATGGAAAGGTTGAAAAAATAACCACAGTGAAAACAAGGAAAAACCTAGCTTTCTTTTTCCTCTCTTAGAAATATAGCAAACTGATAAAGTAATATCAATACATTAATTAAAAGGCAATGCCAAGGAGCACTTTGTTACAACTGAGGAGACAGTTAGGTTTTGTTGCTCTTAGCCAATATGTATGCAGTTGCTATGTATTCAGTGTCAGTGTATATCCATATATATTTAGTAAGTTATATAGAGAGTATCCTTCCTTGGGGAATGGAAAGTTACTTCATTGGTGCTGCCCAGGAAATTCCTTACTGACCAGTTAAGAATACATTCCTGGGGGTGGTTGAAACCATGCTGACGCTAGATATTGAATCATGGTGAGCTTAACACAACTGTCTCTATTTGGGGACTGTCATTTTCTTTTTAACACTATATAGCAAATTATATCAATACTTAGTTGTTTAAATGAATAGCAATTCTTTATTAGCTCACATTTTTGTGCATTAGATATTCAGGACCATTTTATTTAATTTTTCAATTTTTCAAAAAATTATTTATTTTTCTTACATTGTTATTCATTTTTTGCAAGTCATGAATAAATCCCCATAAATTTCTCATCACCCATGAAATATCTTCATAGTCTCTTGTGCTCTTCCCTCCCCTGTTTTAACCACTCTCCCTCCCCCTCCCCTGCTGTATGTCTTAGGTCTTCAGTTTGCCTGCAAGTTTTCTTTCTTGGGGGACCATCTTTCTCTCTCCCTGTATTCCTACTATGAGTGAAACCATCTGATATTTTTCTTTTCCCTTATGACTTATTTTACCGAGCATAGTCTCTTCTAACTCCATCCATGTTGCTGCAAATGGCATGAGCATGAGTTCATCTTTTTTAATTGCTGAACAGTACTCCATTGTATATATTCTTCTTGAGCCATTCATCCGGTTTTGGGCTCTTAGGTTGTTTTCATATCTTAGCTATTGTGAATAATGCTGCAACAAACATAGGAGTGCAGGTTTCCTTTTGAATTAATGTTTTTGTGTCTTTTGTGTATATTCCTAGGAGTGGAATTGCTAGGTGATATGGTGAATCCATTTTTGTAATTTGAGGAATGTCCACACATTTTTCCATAGTGGCTGGACCATTTTGCATTCCCACCAGCAGTGTAAGAGGGTTCCTTTTTCTTCCCATCTTCACCAGCGTTTGTTGTTGCCAGAATTTTTAATATGGGCGGTTCTTACTGGTGTGAGATGATATCTTATTGTGGTTTTGATTTGCAGTTTCCTAATTATAAATGATGTTGGCCATTTGCATTTGTATAGTGCCACAAAAGACCCCATATAGTCAAAGTATCCAGAGAGAAAAGAAGAAAAATAGAGATATTCTAATAGATATTCTATTTCCTGCCTTTAAACTATACTACACAGCAACATGGTGTTAGAACAAAAATAGAAACACAGACCAATGGAATAAAATAGAGAGTCCAGAAATAAACCCATTTAAATATGGATGGCTAATCTTTGACAAAGGAGCCATAAGCATACAGCGGTGAAAAGAAAGCTTCTTTAACAGATGGTGTTGGGAAACATACATAGCTACATGCAAAACAATGAAACTAGATCCATACTTATCCCCATACACAAAAATTAATTCAAGATTGATTAAAGATTTAGATATATGACCTGAAAACATAAAATACTTAAAATATAGGGGATACACTACAGGACATTAACCACAAAAATGTGTATTTGGGGTCACAAACCCAATGGCAAGGGAAACAAAAGCAAAAATAATTAAATGGGACTATATTAAAGTAAAATGCTTTTGTACGTCTAAAGAAACCATCACAGAAACAAAACAGCAACCTAGAGACTGGGAGAAGATATTTTCCCATCACACAGAAAAGGGGAAGAAAAGAAATACACCATGGCAAGATGATAAGCCACTGGAATCATTAATCACATAAAGTTCAGCTTTAAGTAGCTCTGAGAAAGCACCATATATGTATGTATGTGTGTATATATATATGTGTGTATATATATATATATATATGTATGTGTGTATATATATGTGTGTGTATATATATATATGTAAACATATATATATATATTGTATATATATATATGTAAACATATATATATATATATGTTTCCTTTTTGTACTAGTTACCTTTCATAATGAGTCCTTAAGAAATACAATCATGGGGCCTCCCCGGTGGCGCAGCGGTTGAGCGTTGGGTTGCGAAGCTGCCGGCGACCTCTGCAGCGCAGCGGTTCGATCCCCGGCTGCTCCCCGGCCACCGGAGGAGGGTCCCACATGGTGCGCAGACCTCTCCTGCCGCCCGCTGCTCCCCTCAGCAGTGTACTTCGGTCCTTCTGCCTGCTCTGCTCCCCGCTCTGGCTCTGGTGAATTCTCTCGCCCTCCCGCGCTTCTGACTGTACCCAGTGCATGTATAAACAAAACAAACAAACAAATAAATAAATAAAAACATGCCTCTATTAAAAAAAAAAAAAAGAAATACAATCATGTTCATAAGATGATATTTTTAGAGATCTTATCCATTATTTTAAACACCTACCAAATTTCCTACTATAATTTTTTTTTAAGATTTATTTTTTCTTTATACAATAGCTGGGGTACAGGCCAGAGGCATGGGAGGGTGAGAGGATTCACCAGAGACAGAGTGGGAAGCAAAACAGGCAGGCAGACTAAAAGCACTGCTGAGGGGAGCAGCGGGCGAGCCAGGAGAGGTCTGACGCGCCAATGTGGGAACCTCCCTGGCCAGCCGGGAATTGAACCCGCGCTGCAGAGGCTGCGGACAGCTTCACAGCGCTGTACTCAAAGCACTGTGCTCAACCCACTGCGCCAACTACTATGAATTTTTATAAGCAATTTTTTAAGAATTCGCTAAGTAAAAGATTTGTACTTTATTATTTTTTGCCTACTTGATGCCTCAAAGACTTTTAAAAAATTTTCCTTCCTCACCCCCAGTTATCTATTGTACTTGCATTTCTCTTCTTGGTCTGGAAAAGTCCCTACCTTTTGTTTTAACACTTAAATCTGTTGTGTTTTGTCTCTCAGTATTCATATTGGATGTCCCATAATTTCTTAAGTTTCTTTCAACACAATGCTGCAGAATATAGATTATTTTATTGAGAGCCTGCTCAAAGCAAAAGATGTTAAAAACCATCCAAAGAGCTTCTTGATGCAATTTACACTTAAAAATTATATTTATCTCTAGAGAATAGTAGCTGACAACTGTCATTAGCTTATAAATGCCCATTGTGACTTTACTGCAACCAGTAGAAATTTTATATAATGTTAAAGCTGAAGAATTTTGGTAATGGGTCTTCTTTGCTTGCAAACCAATAAATCTAACATTTACATTACAATCTAGTGTATGGGAAAGATGGAGAACTGGGAATTTATTTCAATAGCAATATTATAATAAAGGTTTGCCAGTTCTGAAGTGTGCTATTCCATGCAGAGTTTCTAAAAGCTTTCATATTTCATTCCTTTGAAAGGCTTCATGATGTGTAAAGGAAAAGTTAAATGGGTAAGAAAGATCTTGATTTTCTTTTGACTTTGTCGTATTTTGAAACCAACCCCCAAGTACTTACTTGTGAGGATTTAGTGAAATCTTCCATAATTTTTATATTTAGGGTTCGCAAACTCCTATCTTTTATTTAAATTCGGTTTTCACTACTTCTTGAAAGCTGTGCTTGAATAATTTTTCAAAGTTAGAAAAGGGTAGTGTAGGGGTCTACCACAAACAACTTAATCACCTAATTTTATTGCCCGTTGACATTAGTGTGTATAGAAAAAATAGGAACATTCATGTTAATGCCTCTGACTTTAAGGAAACATAGGTTTGCTAAGGATTTTTTTAGAAATAAGGAAAAATGATAAAAATTTTCAAATATCAGCTATTTCAAATGGGTAATGCATTGTATGTATTAAGTTCATATTATAATTTTTGGCCTCTCCTTAGGAAACATAGACTACCTTTTTGGAAGGAATAAGTAAATAGAGATTTCTGACTTTGCTTCTTTTTTATGTAAAAATTTATATTGTATATCCATGAAGGATTAATTGGTATGGGAATTGCTGCCTTGTCACCAACTAGAATGCCAGCCATAATATATGAAACTACTGTTCTTAGACATTGGACAGGACAGTACTGTGATTTTTGAGGGAAGAGAAATAAATGAGTTAAACCTTATAACTCAGCTCACAGTCTGAGAATTTAATTCTAAACCTTAAGACCAGGCTAGGACATCTTCAAAGAATATAGCAATTGCCAGGAGCTGTAAAATAAATAGTGGTATCTTAAATCTCAGTATCAAACAAGACCAGATCATTTGACTTTCCTCCATCCATAGAGGAGAAAGATTACTAAATATGAATAGTTAGTAGAAACTTCTTCAAAAACCATGCTTTAGAAGTACACCCAAACTGATCCTAGGTGAAGAATTTTCTAGACTTGGTATAAAAATCATTTTTGAAGATTTGAAAGATTCAAACTAATATGCAGGTATCTTTACTATATAAGAACCAGCACTCGACAATGTAAAATTCATACCTAATCTCCAATCAAAGATTGTTAGGCAAGCTGGTATAACCCCTGTGTAAAAAGGTATAGTGATACCTCAAGAAAATAAAAATGCAAATTCTCTTTGACCCAACAATCTTGCTATTATTTATCCAAATAACATGAAAAATCTAATATAAAAAGATCTATCTACACCTATGCATGTAGTAGCACTTAAACCCAAATGCCCTGCAACACATGAATGGATAAACTGAAGTATGCAGTCATTGGAATATTATACAGTTGTGAAGAAAGATGAAATGGTGGCACTTGGGCCAAAATGGATAGATCTTGAGGTGATTATGTTGAGTGAAAGCAGTCAAAAAGTGAAACACGGGGCCTCCCTGGTGGCATAGAGGGTTAAGTCTCAGCCCTATGAAGCTATCCATAGCCACTGCAGTACGAGTTCAATCCCCAGTCAGGAAACAAACCCACATGGCACAGCAGACCTCTTCTGTCTCGCCTGCTACTCCCCTCAGCAGTGTATTTCAGTCAATTTGCCTGTTCTCCCACTGTCTCTGGTGAAGCCTCTCATGCCCCTGCACCTCTGGCCTACACCCCAGCTCTTGTATGCATAAATAAATAAATCTTAAAAAAAAAGAAAGATTTTGGATGGTCTCAGAAAAAAGAAGATAATATTTAGGGGAAAGAGTGAAGGGAATGGTGGAGGGAGGCAAATAGGGTATGGACATGGGTAGTTTGGTGGAGGATATATGTATATATATTTATATATATATAACAAAAATGGATAAGTGACTTTAATAGGCATTTCTCCAACAAAGATAAATAAAAGGCCAGTAAATACATAAAAGGATACTCCATAGTATTTGTCAAAACCACAAGATACCACTTCTTACCCATTAGGATGACTACTATTAAAGAAGTGGGAAAAAAGTATTGGCAAGGATGGTTCAGCAAATCTACTTTTAAATATAAAACCAAAAGAATTAAAAGCAGGGATTCAGATATCTGTACACCAATGGTCATAGCAACATTATTTGCAGTAGCCAAAAGTTGAAGTCAACCCATTGTTCATCAATTGATGAAAGGATAAACAAAATGTGTTCTATACGTATAGCCTTACAAGAGAAAGAAATTCTGATACATGCGACGATAAGAATGACCCTTGAAGAAGAAAAATTTGCTGTTTGAAATGAATAGTGGCATAGGTGGAGTTAAAAAGAAGACTATAAAAAGAACTTTATAATGAAGTTGTTTAAAACGAATGTAAATAAAAAATATTAAAAGCAGCCAGAGGGAAAAAGAGATGTTATACACAAAGAAACAAAAATAAGAAACTTCTAGGTAAAAAAAGGTAAGAAACTTTGCTAGGTATACAGCTGGGTGTGTGTGTGTGTGTGTGTGTGTGTCTGTGTGTAGTAAATGTGTGGTGTATACTTATCATATATACAAACTTAGCATATTATATACAAATCAGAAGACATAAGTTTTTTAGAATGCTGAAAGAGGTGAAATTTGTCAACCTCAAATTTTTTACAAAACAAAAGTCTTTCAAAAATGAAGTTGAAATAAAGACTTTCTCAGACTTACCAAAGGATGACTACTGTTAAAGTCAGTACATTTGTATAATAATAAATGTTTAAAGGAAACTCTTGAAGCAATTGGAAAATGACACCAAATGAAAATTCAGATTTATTCTAAAGGAATGAGGAACACTAGAGGGTAAATGTGTGTGTAAGTGTAAAATATTTTTCTCATTTTAAAATTTCTTTAAATTCTAATCTGTTGTCTAATCAATAACAAGAATAAATGTATTGTGTGGTTTATAACACATAGATATAAAATGTATGAGAATGATAGCACAACACAGAGGGAATGGGATTGTACTATTATTTTCTCTTCACTATACCTAAAGTGATATGATATTAAGGTTAACTGCAATAAATTAAAGATACATATTGTAAAAGCAGGGTTCAGCAGACCCAACCAGCCTGCTACTTACTGTAACAACAAACAGTATGGTTGGAGTACAACACTGACTACTTTTTCATGTATGACCTATGGTTGTTTTGCACCACAGTGCAGGATCTATGTTTGCAATAGCTATCTTATGCCCCACAAAGACTAAACTATTTAATATCTAGCCCTTTACAATGAAGATTAGACAAACCTCCTATAGAATAACCCCTATAAATGAAAGGAATGATAATAAGAGATTTAAAATAATGTAGAGATTAAATGTAATCATAAAAGATATTCTGTTAATCTAAAAGATGGCCAAAATAGAGGGAAAAAGTAGAAGAAAGAACAGTTAGGTTGGGAAAGTAAGTTACAAAATGGTAGATTTACACATAAGTACTTTTAAAATGTATTAAAAGCAAACAATAGAGTACATATTTGAATTAAAAGGTACAGATTGACACATTGGAGAAAATAACGAAACCAATTATATGCTGTTTATAAGAAGCCCACTTTAAATATAAAAACATGGATAGGTTAAAAATAAAAGGAGGAAAGGTATATCAAAAGGCATATGTCCATACAAAGACTTGTAAATGAATAATGATAAAACCTTTATTCATAATAGCCAAAGACGCAAAAAAATCTAAGTAGCAATCATCAGCTGAATTATGGTATAGTCATACAGGGAAATACTACGTAGCAATAAAAATGAATGAACTAATAAATACAACAATGTGGATGAATCTAAAAATCATTTTGCGGAGAGAAAGAAACCAACACAGAAGAGTATTGCTATATGATTTCAGTTATATAAATTCTAGGAAAAAAATATAATCTGTGGTTATATTATAATCACAGTCAAATCAGTGGTTCAGTGGGATGAGGGATGAGGTTCAATGGAGTTGGGATGAGGTCTGATGGAATTTTGGGGGTAATGAAAATGTTATTCATCTTGATTATTGTGCTAAAATTCATCAGATGTCCATTTAAAATAGTTACTTCTTAAATTTAAGTCATAAAAGAATTTAGTGTGAAGTTCTTTATGCATTATAGGTCTTATAAATTGTTGCATTAGGCAAAGAGATAATAAGTAAATAACTGCAACTATGGAAAATTTGATTACTTGAGAATCTCTAGTACATTAATCTACATATATTTCCTCTTCAATTTTGAGATATGTGAATCCTTAGAAAATTCATGGAATATACTTGTTGATTCTTTTTTTAAAAGCTATTAAAGAAACATTGCTTACGTATCAAGCAATGTGCTAAGTATTTAAATGGTTTATTTATTCCTCACAGCAACTCTTACTAGTTAGGGATTAAGCCCATATTATATGTGGACAAAGTGAGACTCAGAGAAGTTTTATAAAATGCCCAAAGTTTTAGAGTCAAAATTTCACTCCAGATTTGACTCCAAAATCTGTTTTTCCTTCTTCAGTATAACTTATGATTAGATGTTTGTTTGCTTGCTTAAAAAAAAAAAAAAACTACTTCAAAATTTATTTAAAAAAATATTTATTTGAAAATTTCTTTGAAAGTTATTTTGACATGTTTTTTTGATTAAAGCTCTGTAAATCAAGACTATTGAGGAAAATGATAAGGAATTGTATGTCATACCATTGTATAAAATCCTTTCAGCTATATAACTTATTATATTTCCCTTAATAACCTAAACTTTCTTTGAAAATATTTTAATAACAACAACAATAGACACCATTACTATAAAAATAGTGATAAGGTGGCTTTAACTTGCAATGAAATTTAATTATATGATTGGGTCTTTTTCATTCAGATGTGACAGTGGTCTACCAGAATGGTTTACCTGTGATATCTGTGAGGCTACCATCTCGGCGTGAACGCTGCCAATTCACACTCAAACCTATCTCAGACTCTGTTGGTGTGTTTTTACGACAACTGCAAGAAGAGGATCGGGGAATTGACAGAGTTGCTATCTATTCTCCAGGTACAGTTAACCTTATTATTTATTCCCCTCTCTGCTTTCCCCCAATCCACTTATACACATGTTGTTTCAGAAGAAGCCCATATGCTTAACTTTAGAAAATGCTTTTTTTGGCTACACAAATGTCAGGAGAGAAAGTGATTTCTCTTCCAGTGGTTCTCAGAATATAATTGTTCAATTTTAGCAAATGTACATACACAAAGAATCTCATTCAAAAACACCACATATAATGCTGTGGGCAAAAATGAACACTCAATCACATGTTTCATTATTCAGATCTTTTATCATTACCTTAGGCATAGAATTGTTTTTTCATTAATTGAATCTTTATCTCTAGAGATATTAAGTATTAGGACTTCTTTTAAGATCTTCTTAAGTCTTTTACATAAAAGTTTACCAAACTAAAGACGTATGTGATTTGAAAAGAATATATTAAAAATATATATATAAAGTAAGTCACTAAGAAATCCCTATTTGATTTGACATCCATTTCATTTAAGTGCTTTATATTTCTCCCATTTTTACCTTGAAAAATGTTAAGAAACATAGATTAGTATAGTAAGTATCCATTTACCCTTCATTTAGATTTAACATGTTAATTTATCATTTTTCTATGCTTTAAGTATTTCAAATATACTTAACCTCAACTCATCTAGTAATATAATTAATAGACAGGCTTGGTGTACTTTGCTAACCCTACCCTACTTAATTATTGGCAACTGATTTGTGACTATAAGGAAAAGTACCGTATTAGAAAACATTGGGTTTTTTTCCCCACTCACACAACTTCCTTTTTAGACAAATATAAAACCCATGCAACTCTCCCAGTGACCCTAGATTTCCAACTGACACCTGTAAGCTATGTAATTATTTCATTTGTTCATAAAGTTTTGCCAGAAAAAACATATTCTTAAATCACAAATTGAAGGCTATGAAAACAAGGTGTCTTGGATAATATAAGCTTTGTTTAACATAGACTTGGGGATGAGGCTAAAAGTTAACTGAAATTTAGCAGATATAATTTTTTAAATCTGTTTTGAAGATTGCTTTTTTTGTGACCATTCTTGAATAATTATGGGCATATGCAAGTTTCAATTTTCACATTAAAATTTTTCACAGATGGAGTTCGAGTTGCTGCCTCAACAGGGATAGACCTTCTCCTCCTTGATGACTTTAAGCTGGTCATTAATGACTTAACATATCACGTACGACCACCAAAGAGAGGTAAAAGAAAGCTTGATGTGATCAGAAAAATGTACGAAGAGCATTAAAAAGAACTAAATATTCCCCTGGATAACCTTGAGAAACAAATAATATTCAAAGAACTCTGAAAGGTTTACATACAGATCAACTCATTTCAATTGAAGAGTGGATTGAATACCTGGCACTTCATTAGTATATTGAACCAGAACTTAGATTCTACCTAAATACCAGAATGCTTTATTACATGATATTGTTGTTGGGTTTCACATAAATGAATGTTCTCCATAACTTAAGTTCCTTCCCTATATACAGGCTAAAAGTCAAATTACTTGAATTGTAGGGGAACCTTTATACAAACTTTAGAATTCCCTGTAATTTTAAACATTTGCAATGGGAATTTATACTTTTCCCCCTTTTGGTGTCTCAAGGTCAGCAGACTAAAAGTCAGTTGTGTAATAATAGTCCATAGGAACTTCTGACATGATATGCTTTTGAAAAAAAAAAAAGTGAGGTACTTGTCTAGGGTGCAGATTTTAGAGTGTACCCAAAAACTCATTAATCAAAAGTTAAGTAATGTTTTATGCACTATTTTTTAAAGCCAAAGTAAATACCAAAAATCCACAATGAACGAAATATCAAAATTTTAAATAGTATTACTGATGTTTCTTTTCACCCCAGGATCTGCACAGTACTGTTGCTAACTATCCCCCTAAAATACCATTTGAATTGTCTTTTTTGGTCACTTTTCTCAATTTACCCATGATTATCTCTGTCAATGCTATTGTTAAGGCTCCTTCGTTTATTACTGCCCCCTCCACCAGCTCCTCAGACATCCTCTCTTTTCTTTGACAATTGTATTTAATGTAGAAATGTTTTGAGTGAAAGCCCAAGTATTGAAGGCTTCCAAAATCTGATCGACATCTACCTTTTAAAGTTTTGTCTTTCCCTTTGACAAGTTACCTGCTTTTAACCCTGTATTCCTTTGTTGTGTCCTGAACTATGCCCCATTCTCTGCCGTGTCTGTTTGCTCACCTTTTCTCCACCTAAGTAACCTCACTCCTTGCTTTTTAACCTCCTATTTCCTTACATCAGAATCAACATCAACTCCTTCATGAAGTTTTGAATGATCCTAATCTCCCAGCCAAGAAGAAGTGATTAATCTCTGAATTCTCATTCCTTTGCAGATGCTCTAAGGGAAGACCTCTGTTCATTTACCCCATTGACTCAGAGGGTCATTCTACTCAGAGGGTCTTCTATAATGAGTTAACATGGGAACATTGATTCTCTTCTGTCTTCAAGCTAGTTAAGACAGAACTGGCTTTGAAAAAAGGAGGTTAAAATCTAGTAAATAGAGTAAGAATGGAAAAACTATCCTTAAGTTAGTGAGAATCTGCTGATTCAGATTTTATTAAGTTAGAATAATTCAACAATGTACACCAGGGATTGTTAGCTATGTATTAGCTATGCTAACTTGTTTTTCTTCTTAACTCCCACATTCTTTTTTTAAAATTTATTTACTTTATTATTTGAATTTTGGGATTACATTGTTATTCTTCCATATGTGCATATGGTCCACTCAACCCCACCAACCACTCATGCCAATATTCCCTATTCCCTTCTCCCATTCCTGCCCCCCATTCCCTCTGGTAATCAGAATTTTTTCTTTGGTGTTAGGCACACAATGGCACCAGTACCTGAAGTGGGGAGTCCTACATTTAACATCAGCACTGTTCAATATATACACATACATAGTGCAAGCTACTTATGTAATTTAAAATTTCTAGTAACTATTTTAAAAGTTATAAAGAGCGCAGGGAACTGTGGTGATGGTGCACGGGTGCCTTGGGGAAGGAAATTCTATAGGGACTCAACCTGATGGGGTAGGGAGAAGCAAATATTGTTTAAAAAATAAAAAAGTAAAATAAAATAAAGAAATAAAAGTTATAAAGAAAAAAATTTTGAAACCAACACCCATCATCATATTTTTGGAAGTCAGAATGCTACAAATGAGGCTATAGGTAAGGTAAACATTAAGAAAAATAATGCAATTAAGAAATAAGCAACATAAATGCTTCATTTGGAGCAACATGTTAAAAACTAGTAGCGAGATTTAGAACTCACCTGATTATCACGCTTATGAAAATGCTAATCTATAATTCATCTGTGGTCTTACCATTTTAATCAGTGGTATTTTTTCCTTTACTAACATTAAGAAAAAATATATGTGCTTTCATATTTGCAAATACAATAGTATAAATAAAAATACCATTATCCTAATAATCATCGTCCCCATATAGGTTCCCCCTTACCAACTTTTATTTATTTGTGTTGGGCCTCAGTATCATGCTCTGTAGGGCATGAAGTTATGAGAATGAATGAAACAATAAAAGTTTAAATTATTTTATTTAATATCCTCTTCTGTGAGTAGCATGTGTTTACAGAAATTTAAAAATTATGTTTTGAGGATTTAATAAAAAAATAAGTTGAAATCAGCTGTCAAAGAATTTTTTTTTAGGCCAGAGGCTTGGGTTGTGGGAGGATCCACCAGAGACAGAGTGGAACAGAACAGGCAGATTGACCGAAATACACTGCTGAGGGGTGCAGCAGGTGAGTCAGGAGAAGTCTGCTGTGCCATGTGGGTTGCTTCCTGGCCCGGGTATCGAACTCGTGCTGCAGTGGCTGCGAATTGCTTCATAGGTCGCATCTTAACCCCTTGCGCCACCGGGGAGGCCCTGTCAAAGAATTTTTTAAAGAAAGCACCAGAAATAAAACTTTTGTTTTAGAATCTCTTTAGCCTTAAATGTGATATTTTGTTCAACACAGAGTAAGGTCAGCCTTTTTCTAAATGAAAGTAAACCATAGTCAGAATTAGTCATGTGTATCAAATATTCTTCAAGGATGTCCTTTAGTGCTGTTATTACAGAAATTCAATGAATAAAAAAATTCAAAGTAGGGCAACAAATTGTATTAGAGGAGAGTTGATATAGCATCATTGTCCACAATTGCTAAGCCATGGAACCAACCTATGTGCCTAGCAATAGACAAATGATTAAAAAAACATATACTCAATGGAATATTACATAACTATTTAAAAAAAGATGAAATTGTGGCTTTTGGAACAAAATGGATAGACCTTGATGTGATTATATTAAGTGACATAAGTCATAAGGTGAAAAACAAATATTGGATGCTTTCCCTCACCTGTGAAATATGAACAGATAAAAAACACTGGCAAAAATACAGCAAACACAAATCTTGTAAAAACAAATATTGTATTTACAAATTTGAAAGCACATATATATTTTTTCTTCATGTTAGTAAAGGAAAAAAATACCACTGATTAAAATGGTAAGATCACAGATAAATTATAGATTAGCATTATCATAAGCATGATAATCAGGTGAGGTCTAAATCTCGCTACTAGTTTTAATATGTTGCTCCAAATGAAGATTTATTTCTTAATTGCTTATTTCTTAATTGCTTTATTTTTCTTAATATTTACTTTAACTATAGCCTCATTTGTAGCATTCTGACTTCCAAAATACGATGATGGATGTAGGTTTTCAAGATTTTTTTCTTTATATTTTTTCGTATAGTTACCAGAAAATTTAAATTACATAATAGCTCACACTATGTGTATGTATATATTGAACAATGCTGATGTTAAGTGTAGGGCTCCCTAACTTCAGGCATTGTTGCCATTGTGTGCCTACCACTAAAGAATCCAGATTCTACCACATAGACCTTTCGACTCCCTTCTTTGTTCTCATCCCTCTCCTTCTGTCTCCCCCTGTCCTCTGTGCCCCATTCCACAGTCAACTTTCAAGGGTTAGTTCTTTAGTTTGGTTTATCTGATCTTTTGTTTTCTTTAGATGTGTCCTTGCCAGTTATATGTGCTTCAAAATTTTCAAGTTGCCCAAATATGAATTTACTTTCCAGTTTAACACTGACTGTGGGGTCCCTAAAGTGGATGACTCTGCCTTGTTTTTGTCTTTTTTCTTACTGTCTAATATACCCACAAATAGCAACTCTTCATTTAAGTCATGCATTTAAAAAAATGTAACCCTTTTCTTTCAGACCTCTTAAGCCATGAAAACGCAGCAACACTGAATGATGTAAAGACCCTGGTGCAGCAACTGTACACCACACTGTGCATTGAGCAGCACCAGCTAAACAAGGAAAGGGAACTTATTGAGAGATTAGAGGATCTTAAAGAGCAACTGGCGCCCCTGGAGAAGGTGCATATTCAAATTTCAGACTTTTCTCTTCACCATTATTTTTGTCATAGCATTTTTCCTCCACGTTTTCTGTAATTGAGTATACTAATCAAACTAGTCCACTAAGTTTGAGGGCTTAACTTAAAAAATTACAATCAAAGCAAAAAAAGATTGGAGCCTTGAAAATGTACTTAGAATTTTAGAGTCTAAATGTACTGCTTTAACTAGATTTCCCACCTGTACAACAAAGAATAGAATAATTGCTTATCATAAAGGTTCAGGTGTGGTGGATAATGACTTTAGCCAATTTAAGAATTAATATTATATGGAATTTTATGCAGCTGTTAAAATGATTGTGTATGTCTAATATGATATACAAAACCACTCATGGTATTTCATGAAAGTAAATTATAAAAAGAGTGCATATTAATGCCACTATAATCCAGTTTTTAATTGTATTATAGCTGTGTGTATGTATAAAGAAAAAAATCAAAAGGAATATATTCTAAATGCTAATAAAGTAGTAGGATTATTACTGATTTTTCTTCTTTATACTTTTCTCAATGGTTTGCAATAAACACGTCTCCTTATTTTTAATAGGATGATTTTTCCATTTTAAGAAATAAATTCTACTAGTACTACAAAATATTTTATTCATTGAAAACTAGGTACTATTTAAGAAGATAAGCTATATTTACTAGAATTGAGACTAATTTATATCTTCTTGTTTCCTATTTTTCTTGGTGAACATAGAACAGTTTGAATATGAGTTTGAAATTGGATCTCTGTCAAATGCCTTACATTTTGATCATGTGTGCTCCATAGGTACGAATTGAGATTAGCAGAAAAGCTGAGAAGAGGACCACTTTGGTGCTATGGGGTGGACTTGCCTACATGGCAACACAGTTTGGCATTTTGGCCCGGCTTACCTGGTGGGAATATTCCTGGGACATCATGGAGCCAGTCACCTATTTTATCACTTATGGGAGTGCTATGGCAATGTATGCATATTTTGTAATGACACGCCAGGTAAGCATTCCCTTTTAGTACCTCTTTGTGACATAGTAATGAAGTTTTGGTTGTCAATAAATTCTCTTTTCTCATATTCTTTCTAAAGTCCATTCCCTTAAACTGCTCATTTATGCTTTAACACACACACTTACTTGTTTATATACATGTGTATTTGCATGCCAATTATTTATCAAGTACTATCTAGGTGCTAAAGATAAGAGATAAAGATGTAACTTATACCTTCATAGAGCTCAAAGGTTATTGAGAACTGTAAGAATCATTAAAATAATAAAAATGTATTAAAGTACATTATAGTATAAGAGGGTAAAGGAGAATAGCCTAAGAGGGCAAAGAAAAAGAGTAGTCAGCTGTAGAGTAACTTGTTCAGCTAAGTTGACTTGGCTTTTTATCTACTATGTAATTAATTTAATAGTTGATTGGGGGTAGTTCCAAGCTTTCCATTTTTATTGAATTCTTAGAAGGGAAAATTTATAATAACTCATCAAATTGTTAAATTAAACTCTGGGCTTCTTCCAAAGTATGTTAAGAGTATAGATGTTTTTGTTGTTATTGCTTTCACTTCATGGAAGAGAGTTGACAATTAGATACATAATCGTTTTATACTCTTGGCCCATTCTTTATCGGCCTAGGCTCATTTATTAAATATCAGTATGTATAACTAATTTATCTTGCCAGTACTATTTTTTCAGTAGCTTGGAAATCGATGGTGTCGGGTTATAAAGTATGAGGGATTTATTACCACATATGTGCTGTACCATTGCCGATCCAGCCAAATATGCCCTTGAATAAAAAAACCATTGAAATAGCTAAGAAGTATGAGACATTATTCTGTTTTTCTTTTTTTATTACTGTTTTTGATGGAAGTTTTTTTTTTTTTTTTGCTTTCTTTTTTTAAAGATTTTATTTATATTTGCATAGAAAAACCGGGGTGTAGACCAGAGGTGCGGGGGTTGAGAGGATTCACCAGAGACAGAGTGGGGAGCAGAGAGCAGGCAGATTTACTGAAATACACTGCTGAGGGGAGCAGCAGATGAGGCAGGAGAGGTCTGCTGTACCATGTGAGTTAGCTCCCTAGCTGGGAATTAAACTCCGGCCTTCATGGTGATAGCACTGAGACTGAGCCACTAGGCCACCAGGGAGGCTCCTATGCTATTTTTCTTGACTAATATAAGAAAACTGAGTTGCTTATTTTATGTTTTTAATATTACTATTATTGAACATTGGCATTTTTTATTAATTCGTGTTTCTATTTTCTCACATTGTTCATTTTTGTACAATATTTGATTTCTCCACTCAGGTGTAGTTCTGTAACTCTCCTACTGCCACAGCACCTGTGAACCATCACCATAGTCCCTTGTGCTCTTCCCTCCCATTTTGGCCTCTCTCTCTTCTCCTCCCCTGCTGTATGCCTCAGATCTATGGTTTGCATGCAAGTTTTATCTTTTTCCTGATAAAATTAGGCATTTTTGTTTCTGTTATAGTTTTGTCAGTGGTCAAGACCTTGTGTGGGAAAATTAAAGCCCAAGAATATTCTTAAGCCTTTCTGGACCTTCCAAGCTCTGTAGTAAGAAGAGACAGTAAACTGTTCATGTCCTTCCTGTGTTTACCCAGAGTCTTCAACACTTAGTACCATGTCTGGTTTCTACTAGCCAGAGCAGTCATGTCTAATCATGGTTCTGGACATGGATTGCTTATATTCTTCGTCTTTGTTTTTTTCCCTCTCTCTCTTCTCTCCCTCATAGACATACTCCTTTAGTGTATTCTTTCTAGCTATTGTTTGAATTCCAAACCCCTTAGCCTAATATTCATAACTGGTTGCTCTCTGTCTTTTCCAGCCTCCGTATCTATATAATCTTACCTCACATCATTCTATCAGCTGGAAAAGTTCTCCCTGTTGAACTCTACCTGTCAGATGTCAGGGATTGTTTAACTGTTTATATCCATGAAACTTTGGCCAATTTCCTGCAGTCAAATTTGATCTTTCCCTCTTCTGAATTCCTATAGTAGATTGTAGCTCTTATTTCACTTATCCTGTGCTATCCTATTTGTAATTTTTTTATGTACAGTGTCTTTTCCGTCCTACTAGCCTAGGTGAGGCATTGCATTTTTTCAATTTTTATTTCTCTGCCATCCTTGAGCAGTGCTTTTTATCTTGAAAACGTATCTGTTCTGCTAGATCAGTGCTCTACTTCTTTGATCCCAAGTATTCTTGCTGCCCCCAAGTGACAAGTCACAAAATAGCAGTTGTAAGAAATAATTTACTAAATGAAATGTAGTTTTTCATGTAAATATTCTTTTCCACATCACTATCCATAATTAGCATCTGTGAAGCGAAATGCCTGTTCGACACATTTAAAGTCTTCCAAACTGGTATTACAAAGAGATTTATTTCCTAGCAACCTAAATATAGCTAAACAATATAATTCCAAAGAATCTTTGTAAAATAACAAGTTCCTTGAAATCATAAAATCAAGTGTACTATTGAATTACACTGATTAATATTTCAGTTAAATCTGGATGCCAATTTTTATTATGCAGAAAAAGAGCCTACAATAAAGAATTGCCGTTCAGAGTTCCTTCAGCATGTGTGTGGACCATCCATGCAGGACACTAGCAATGGAGGGGAGGTCACCCTCAAGAGGGTGAAAACTGGGGAGTAAAAATATCTTAGGAAATATACTACATAAACATATAATACAGCATATCTTCCTTGGGCAGGAGGGGCAATAAATAAATGCTTAAAAGGTCTTATTAGGTTTACAATAATGAAAAAAAAAGGTTAAGAAACACTGACTGACCTAGCCTTTAATGCCTTTTGTCATCTCAGTCCAATAACAAACGTTTATATTCTACTCCAAATCACTTCCAGTACCTTCTTCCCTAAAACTGACCTACTTATCATATAAATTAGTATGCTAATACCTGACCATAGTTTCTTTTCTTTCTAGCCCTTTTATTCACTCACTTTCTCTGTTCACCTCATCATGACTTTTAGACTCCAGCTGCCTCCCTCTTAACTTTTTATTATCATTTTCCTTGTGTTGCCTTTTCAATCCCACCTTATACCATGTTGTCATTTTTAGTATCCTACAGTCCATGCCCCTTTTTCTTTTCACCATATGTACTTTATTAATGCTTAACCTTGGATGAATCTAGCAATTTATCTTATATCCCAGCTGCTGCACATTGTTAGAGAAAAATAATGTAACTGTGTGGAATGGGCCTCTGATGGTGTTTCTAATTGGATTTCCTTCCTCCATACCCCCACAATAGTTATTCTAAGACTTCACAGGATGCTCCCCATCCCACACTTGATCTTGCCTCCTATTTCTCCTAGGAAATTAAAGCTAACAAATACAAGCTTTCTAATTCCTAATTTCTGTGACTTTAACACTACTTTCATACTATTTCTTTTAATCTCAAGTAAGAGGTGGCATTTTTTATCAGGAGCTAGCTCCTCCATTCATTTTTTTTTAAAGATTTATTTATTTATGCATACAAGAACTGGAGGTATAGGCCAGAGATAGGTGTAGGCGGTGAGAGGATTCACCAGTGACAGAATGGGGAGCAGAACAGGTGGATCTGCTGAAATACACTGCTGAGGGGAGCAGTGGGCCACATCAAACTCATGTTGCAGTGGCTGGTGATACCTTGATAACACTGTGTCTTTAACACCAAGGAGGCACCTTCTCCACCTGTTCTTAACCCCATACCCTTTCCAGTATCTTACCCCACCTGTTTTTTTTTTTCATTTTATTTTTATATTTCCCATACAATTGCAACCCCCTTATTTTGACCCCTATCCCTCCTTTCCCCGCCCCTCACCCCCCATAGTGTGTCTCTGGTTCATAGTTGTTTGTTGATTTTGATTTTTTTCTTTCTTATAGTTATTCTTTTTCCTGGTCCCTTATTTAGGTTTTCTAGATTCCTGCAATGAGTGAGACCATCCGGTATTTTTTTTTTTTCTTTCTGGCTTATTTCGCTGAGCATGATCCCTTCCAGCTCCATCCATGTTGCTGCAAATTGCATGTGTTTATCTTTTCTGAATGCTAAGTAATATTCCATGGTGTTTATGGACCACATCTTCTTGTTCCAGTCATCTATTTTTGGGCATTTGGGTTGTTTCCAAAGCTTAGCTATTGTAAATAGTGCTGCTATAAACATAGGTGTGCAGGTGCCCTCTGGAATTGATGTTTCTGTGTCCTTTGGTAAATACCTAGGAGTGGAATTGCTGGGTCATATGGAAGCTCTATCTTTAGTAGGTTGAGGAATCTCCACACAGCTTTCCATAGTGGTTGGACCAGTTTGCACTTCCACCAGCAGTGCAGGAGAGTTCCTTTTTCTCCACATCCTCGCCAACATTTGTTGTTGCTAGTTTTTTTAATATGTGCCATTCTCACTGGTGTAAGATGGTATCTCATTGTAGTTTTGATTGGCATTTCCCTGATTACAAATGATGTTGAACATTTTTTCATATGCCTGTTGGCCATTTGTATTTCCTCTTCAGAGAAGTTTCTTTTTAGCTCTTGTGCCCATTTTTTGACTGGATTATCTTCTTTGTTTTTGTTGAGTCTCATCAGCTCTTTGTAGATTTTTGTGATCAGTCCTTTATCATTAGTGTTGTGTGCAAAAATTTTCTCCCAGTCGGTGGGGTTTCTCTTTGTTTTGGTTGTTGTCTCTTTTGCTGTGCAGAAGCTCTTTAATTTGATGTAGTCCTAACTGTTTATCTTTGCCTTCACTATCACTGCTTTGGGTGATGCGTCTGTAAAGATGTCTTTGAGGTGCATGTCATGTAGTGTTTCGCCTGTATTTCCTTCTATATATTTTAAGGTTTCAGGTCTTATGTCTAGTTCTTTAATCCATTTTGAGTTAATTTTTGTGCATGGTGTGAGGTAGTGGTCAAGTTTCATTCTTTTGCATGTAGCAACCCAGGTTTCCCAGCACCATTTATTGAACAAACTTTCTTTGCTCCAGTGTATATTTTTTGCTCCTTTGTCAAAGATTAGTTGACCATAAATCTGTGGGTTTCTTTCTGGGTTTTCTATTTGGTTCCATTGGTCTGTGTGTCTGTTCTGGTTCCAATACCATGCAGTTTTGATTATTATGGCTTTGTAGTATAGTTTGAAATCTGGGCGAGTGATCCCTCCATTCCCTTCTTTTTTTTTTCAGGAGAGCTTTGGCTATTCGGGGTTTTTTTGTGGCTCCATATGAATTTCATCAATATTTTTTCTATTTCTTTGAAGAATGACATTGAAATTTTAATTGGAATAGCATTGAATCTGTAGATTGCTTTTGGTAGGATGGCCATTTTGATAATGTTAATTCTTCTGATCCATGAGCAGGGGATGTTTTCCATTTCTTTGTGTCTACTTCTGTTTCTTTTAACAGTGTTTTAAGTTTTCTTTGTATAGGTCCTTTACTTCTTTTGTTAGGTTTATTCCCAAGTATTTGATTTTTTTTTTGTTTCAATAATAAAAGGAATGGTTTTCTTGATTTCTTCTTCTTCAGATTTATTGTTTGTGTATAGGAAGGCTGCTGATTTTTGTGTGTTCATTTTGTATCCTATCACTTTACTAAAGTGACTGATTAGTTGAATTAGTTTTTCTGTGGAGTTTTTGGGGTTCTCTGTGTACATTATCATATCATCTGCAAATAGTGATAGTTTGACTTCTTCCTTGCCTATTTGGATTCCTTGTATGTCTTTCTCTTGTCTTATTGCTCTGGCTAGGACTTCCAGTATTATGTTGAAAAGCAGTGGTGAGAGTGGACATCCTTGTCTTGTTCCAGATCTTAATGGGATGTTGAGGTATGTTCTTGTATCCCGAGAATTTCAAAGGCCTTTATCATAAATGGGTGTTGTACTTTGTCGAATGCTTTCTCAGCATCTATGGATATTATCATATGGTTTTTATATTTCTTTTTGTTGATGTGTTGGATTACATTGATTAATTTTCGGATGTTGAACCATCCTTGTGTCCCTGGAATAAATCCTACTTGGTCATGGTGAATTATCTTATGGATGCATTGTTGGATTCTGTTGGCAAGGATTTTGTTGAGGATTTTTGCATCAGTGTTCATTAGGGAGATTGGCCTGTAATTTTCTTTTTTTGTGCCGTCTATTTGTTGGGTTTTGGTGTTAGTGTAATGTTGGCTTCATAGAACGTATTTGGTAGTATTCCTTCTTTTTCAGTTTTTTGAAAGAGTTTGTGTGTAGGATAGGCACTAATTCACAGCAGAACGTTTGGTAGAATTCATTTGTGAAGCCGCCTGGGCCTGGGCTTTTTTTGAGGGGGGAGTGCTTTGATTACTGCTTCAATTTCACTGCTTGTAATTGGTCTGTTTAGTTGTTCTATTTCTTCTTTGTCCAGCTTTGGATGATTTTATTGTTCTAGGAATTTGTCCATCTCTTCTAGGTTGTTAAATTTGTTTGCGTGTAAGTGTTCATAGTAATCTCTTATTATTCTTTTGATTTCTACTGAGTCTGTTGTGATTTCTCTACTTTCATTTATAATCCTATTTATATGTGTTTTCTCCCGTTTTTTCTTTGTGAGCCTTGCTAGAAGTTTGTTTATTTTGTTTAATTTTTCAAAGAACCAACTTTTGGTTTCATTGATCTTTTGGATTGTTTTTTTGATTTCTAATTCATTTATTTCTGCTTTGATTTTTATTATTTCCTTTCTTCTACTGGCTTTAGGGTTTTTTGTTGTTCTAGTTCTTTGAAATGTGAGATTAGGTTGTTTCTTTGAGTTCTTTCTTGTTTGTTGATGTGAGCCTGTATTGCTATATATTTTCCTCTTACTACTGCTTTTGCTGCATCCCATACCCCACCTGTTCTTAATCCCATACCCTTCCCAGTGTCTTACCCCAGTATATATTTTGTGTTTCCTCTGTTTTCAGTCTCTCCTCTCTTTCCTTTATAACCAAGCTTTCTACATCTCTTTTTACTTATTACCAGTCACCAAATATCTAAATTAAAGTCTAGCACATAGTTCCTTAGTAAATGCCAGTTGTCCAAAAGGGAAATCATAAAATAGATTTGAATAAATTTAATTAGTGTGTACATTTACATCCTAACAAAGATAGCTAAGTAGCCTAGTAGCAACAATTTAGATGAAAGTGGAGACTTTTCCTCATGTTTTTAATCCAACAGTTATCCCTTTGGTCAATGTTACTTGATTCAGCCCTCCTCAATTCTATTTTTTTTTTTAATATTAAATTTTATTTTTATATTCCCCCATACAATTGCAAACGCCCCATTCTGACCCCAATCCTTCCCCTCCCGCCCCCCCACCTCCCAAAAAGTGTCTCTGGTTCATAGTTTTTTGTTGATTTTGATTTTCACTTTCTTATATTCATTTTCCTGGTCCCTTATTTAAGTTTTCTAGATTCCTGCTATGAGTGAGACCATCCGGTATTTTTCTTTTTCTTTTTGGCTTATTTCGCTGAGCATGATCCCTTCCAGCGCCATCCATGTTGCTGCAAATTGCATGTGTTTATCTTTTTTGAAGGCTGAGTAATATTCCATGGTATATATGTACCACATCTTCTTGATCCAGTCATCTATTTTTGGGCATTTGGGTTGTTTCCAAAGCTTAGCTATTGTAAACAGTGCTGCTATAAACATAGGGGTGCAGGTGCTCTTTGGAATTGATGTTTCTGTGTCCTAATTCTATTTTTAAGAGGTTTTCACAGTTCCTTTAAATACTGTTCCTCTATTATCTGTCATTAATAATTACAAATATTTACTTATACTTCTAGTATGGCATATTAAGTAATCAGACCAACCCTCCCATTAGACAAAATTAGAATAATTAGTCAAAACATAAAACACATCTGCCTGTAGACACTTGGGATCTACTAAGATAGTAAAAATTACCAGGCAAGGATCAGATGAAGAGGAGTCCCAGAAAGATGAACCTGAGGTTTAGGTATGCTCCTTCCTCTGGGGATTTACTTTGATTAGGAAGGATAGGACTGAAAAAATTCAAAAACACAAATTTGAAAGGAAACTTGCATTCCATGTTTATTACAGCACTACAGCTAAATTATGGAAGCAACTGCAGTGCCCAGAACAGATGAGTGGATCAAGAAAGTGTGGTATATGTGTGTGTGTATGTGTGTGTGTGTATATATATATATATTCACTCACTTATATATATATATACATACACACACACACACACACACACAATGGAGTATTACCGAGCAATCAAAAAAAATAAACTCAGGCCTCCCTGGTGGTGCAGGTGGTTAATCAGGTCTGTGAAGCTATTCAGCCTCTGCAGCGCAGATTCAATCCCCACTGCCCAGGGAGATATCCACATGGCACGGCAGACATCTCTTGTCTTGCCTGCTGCTCCCCTCAGCAGTGTATTTCAGTCAGTCTGCCTGTTCTGTACCCTACTCTGTCTCTGGCGAATCCTCTCACCCTCCCGCACATCTGGCCTGTACCCCAGTTTTTGTATAAATAAATAAACCTTTAAAAAAATGATAAACTCATGCCATTTGTGGCAACATGGATGGAGCTTGAAGGAGAAAGATGGTGTCACTAATGTGTGGAACATAAAGTAACTAAATTAATAGTGATATAAAGACCAGCTTAAAAAGTAACCCTTGATAGCTGACTACAGAACTAAAGCACCAAGGTGGGGAGGGGTGACTGAGTGGTCAGAACAAAGAGGGAAGGAAGGACAATGGTCTATGTGGTGGAATATAAGTGAGTTGGTGGTAGGTGCACTACTGTGGTAATACTTGATAGGGGTACCATAACATAAATAAATAAAATTTTTTAAAAACAAGAAGGGTAAGACTGAGAGGCCAAGAAGTCAAGCCATACTGGATAACCTGGAAGTGCTGTGTTTTTTTCTTTTCAACAGGGTAATGATTAGCATGTTCATGATGGGTGATTCCTTACATGTGTGTTTCACAATAAAATATGTTTAAGAAAGTGCTTAACACAGCACATCAGTATATTGTTGTATAGAATAACAATTAGGTGCTTGTTTTGTGAAGATAGAATGCCAAGGAGCCAATTAATTTCTCCTTTATTTTTGTAGGAATATGTTTATCCAGAAGCCAGAGACAGACAATACTTATTATTTTTCCATAAAGGAGCCAAAAAATCACGGTTTGACTTAGAGAAATACAATCAACTCAAGGATGCAATTGCTCAGGTAAGTTCCAAAAATAAATCTCAGACCCAACTTGATGACATCATCTTCCATAGCCACAGCAATTCAATGGATAAACTCTTTCAATGGTCCAACCCTCTTCTTCCTATGTAAGTTATTTATAAATTGATAAAAATGACTATTTTAGCATGGATACCTCTCCAGAACATTTTATAACACAAGCAGGTGAACAGAGGATCGGTCCTATCTGTCTTAACATACTGAAATTTTTAGACATGTTTTTACTCATTTTGTTTCCGAGGTTGTCTATTTTTACTTTCCTCTCTTTTTAAAATCTTTTTCTATAATAATTCACCCAAATACTTCTCATGTAAAATATATGGTAGCAATGGGGCAAAAATTAAGCCCAGATGAAAGAGAGAAACTACTAAAAATCTCTCCCCAATACAGGTGAGAAATTATTGAACTAGAAGATGATTTTTTAAAAGATTCATTTTTTTTTCCATAATAGTTACCTCTTTGAATTGAGTGTGCTTCCTTCAAAATGATATTTTATTTTAGTGAACAAATCCTCCTCCCTCTTCTCCATAGTCCTTTATGACTTTAGAGATTTTTCAAAAAGCTCTAGAAGCTCCTTCACCCACTTTAATATGGTGATTGATGGGATTGTAGTTTGAGTAGACTTTGAGTAGACTCCATCTTCCTGTCTTGGTCTAAGTGGAGTCACATCTTCTGTTGCTATGGATAGTGGTTCTGAAGTGAAGGGAATACATCAGAATCGTCTCTGGAGCTAACACAGATGCTTCAGCTCCACCCTACACCTATTAACCAGACTCCTCAAAGGTGAGGTCCAAGCATGTCCCTTTGTTGTCCTGGACCTTTAAAGCCCATTGCCTCTGAGACACTCATCTTTTGATAGTAATTGAGATGATTTCTCTTATTCATAGTGATGGAGGAATGACAATTTACTTTTTTCAGGAGACAGCAATATCATTGAAAGATTCTCTAGACAGCTTCTCTCACCTTTTGTTTCTATTTTAGGCAGAAATGGACCTTAAGAGACTGAGAGACCCATTACAAGTACATCTGCCCCTCCGACAAATTGGTGAAAAAGATTGATCTTCAATGAACCTCTGAATCCCAACTGAAAGAACACCTGTTTATAACTATTGCCTTTTTAATTAAAGCAGTACAGGTGAAAGCTGGGAGCCATGTCAGGGTAGAGGGTTTTTACCTTTCATTAAAAATCAAAAACAAAAGGGATTTAGGGGGAAAGGAATGTTAAAATCTGAGGATCACACTTTGTGGAATATAAGCTCAAAGGGCTTAGCGAATATTGTCTTAATCAAGCATCTCAGTTTCTGGATGAAAATGATGCAGTCGTATAGATGAGAGATTCATAAAGAGAAAATTATGCTGGGGGGCGGGAAGTGTTCATTTCTTGCATCTTCTTTGCAGGGTCAGCAGAACAATAACACACCAGCACCCAGTCAGCTCCAATGTGTTTTTTAATTTGACTTTCTTATTTTTGACGTAGGCATATATACCAGAAAAGCAAATCCTCAAGATATATGGGTGGCAAACAGAATCTGAGTCCACTAGCATTTATTTTAGATTGGGCCCAGTCTCTGCAAAGTTACCTGGAATCTCTCTTACCTGTACCCCTTTTCTGACCACCCATACCTGTTGCTTATACTAATTTTATCCATATGATAATTGGAACCAATATATGACTCTTTGATAATTAGCCCTTTGGATTATCCCTAAGACCTTCTTACATGTCTATATATTTCAGTGCTCTGGATCAGTGTCTAGAAATCATTGGCAACACTGCATGAGTTTTTTGCTTTGTTTTGTTTTTACTAATAAGTTTTTAATAGAATAAAAAATATCCCTCCTTTATTTACCTATCCCACTGATATTCCTCTGTCCCTCCACAGCTCAAATCAGAGGGGGAGTGTTCAGCTTTATTACCAAATCAGGAAGACGTAAGGTTTACAAATTGGCTAAAAATCATGGCTCTATAGCCATTTTCAAACCAAAATAATTTAATTGCTGTTAATCTGCTTGTGTGACAGCATTCTAGGCCACCAGGATAGCACTACCTGGTCTGGAGGCTTTGTTCATCTCAAAGGACACACACTCCACACTGTTTGTGAGCCGACACACACTGCACACTGTCTGTGAGCCAACACACACTCCATACTGTTTGTGAGCCCTCCCCCGCTCCACAACTTCAATTGCTATAAATCAAGTGTGTATATCTCAAAGGGTGCAACTTCTCTTTATACAGGAATACATTTCTATGGCTTCCTTCAGCCTATGCTCTTCACCCTGTTTTTTCTTATCTTAAAATGAGAGAAATAAGAATTAATCTTATACTCTATCTATCAAAATGTTTTCTACCATATTTCCAGATGACATCTGCATTTGAAAAGTCAAAGGAATCTGTGTCTAATATCCTGTTTTTAAATATTGTGGGGGCAGGATGGAAAGGATGATGGGGCTTGCCACACAGCTGATTGGCTTCTTTCTTTCACATGATTCATCGCTCCCTATAATGGCAAGGGATTTCTCTTTTTCCTCCTCCTTGGGGATCATTGTATATGGAAAGAAAAACTTTAAATGACAAACCCAGACTCCAGGTGCCTTGCAGAGGTTGAAGGCCAACCAGGATTGCTGCTGCTGCTGCTGCTGCTGCTGCTGTTCCTGCACCCCTTTCACTGGCATGATGAAATGAAAGGATGCATGTTTCCACTTCCCAACCCCTCCTCCCACTTCCTTCCCTCACCGGCCCCACAGTCATTCAACCCCTTCCCTCATTTATTTTTGTTAAGTTGTGTGAATTATTTTTAAACATTTATCCTGTTTGTGTAGGGTTTTAATAAGAAACAGCACAGTGCAATGAGCAAATCCTTTTGGGGTGTGTGGGAGGCAAGGGAGGGTGAAAAGTCCTTTAAACAAATAACAAAATACTGAACATGTGTAAAATCCTGTATCATTTATGAAATATGTAAAAAAAGCAATGTACCTTCTGGAACAATAAATACTTATTCAATTTTTGAACTATGGAATCTCATTTTTTAAACCAAACCAAAAATTTATTTTCCTGTGATTTTAGGTAGTGAGCTTTTACTTCTAAAGTTATTTTTTAACATCAGTATGACATTACAATGGTACTGGGAAAATTGGACAGCCACATGGAAAAAAATGAAGCTAGACTACTACCTCACACCATATACAAAAATTAACTCAAAATGGATTAAAGACTTTGATGTAAGACCAAAAACCACAAAATACAGAGAAGAAAACTGGCAAAACACTCCACAACATTGGCTTTTGTGATGTTTTTGTAGATTTTCTCCAACAAAAGAAACCAAAAAAATGGAACTACATCAAATTAAAAGACTTCTGCACAGTGAAAGAAACTATCAGATACTCTGCTAAATGGAAGAAAATATTTGCACACCATTCATCTGACAAGGGTTTCCAGAACTACCTGAGGCTGAGTGAACTCTACAATCATATTAAAGCCGCTGGCAGCACTGAGACTAATATCCTTATCTCCTGATTAACAGGGGGAAAAAAATCTCCATTATATCAGACCACCTTGATTGTCCAGGACAGTCTCCTGGACTCCAGAAAGTCATTCAAGAATGAGCCAAGATGCTGCCACTTTTTTTAAAGTTTGTATCATATCTATAATGATGACAAAACAGGAAAATATCACATGCTCCCTGATCTACCAAAGACATACCAAAAAACACATATTGAATGTGGAGTTGGGAGATATTAAAAAGAGTCTCTGTAGCTATCGTCTTGCCTCCTGGCAGCAGCCTAACAAAGACACCCTTGAGACATTTATAAGGTATTAGAAGATCAGGATGAAATGATAAGCTACTGTTGGCATTCAACAAATATTATCTACATGTTCCACAACATTGTTAGTCTTTAGTAAAATTTCAGTAGAAACAGATAATAGAATGTAGTAAGTCCTTTGGTGAATTTAGGTAATACAGTTTTGCTGAGGGACTTTGAAAAATGGAAAAAGTAAAAGCGTTCTCTCAGAGAATGATCCCTGGAGCAACAATGTGACATGTCCGTCTTTATTAGAAATGCAAGTTGCCTGAGCTCTACTAAATCAGAAACTAGAATTGGGGCCAACAACCTATTTTTAACAAACTTTCCTGGTGATTCTGATGAGAACCATTGATCTAGTCAAGTCATCACTTTAAGAGAAGGAAAATGAGGCACAGGGAGAACTATGTCACAAATCATCAGTGAATCTTATGATCAAATGGTCAACCTGAGTGATTGGAGGATTGATGAGAAGGGTAAGAAACATGAGAAGTGAAAAGGGATGGTATTACATGTACTATTGTATCTTACCACAGTGTAGTAATCACATATGTTTCAAAAATACAAATAGGTCAGATTGTGTGTGTGTGTGTGTGTGTGTGTGTGTGTGAAAATATTTCACAGAAAAGTAGAACTTCCTAGATTTTGGAACTTTCACCAAAACTATTAAGGATTGTAATTTCTTTTTATCACTGCCGACAATAATTCATAGCTCTCCCAAATAACTCTAAACTTACTGGATTCCAAGACATACTTCTTGGTTATTTCCTTAGGATAAATGTGTAGGTTAATTTTCATGAATTCTATGGAATATACAATGACCCACTTTATAAATGTTCATTTATGAATGCTTTAAAATGCATTATCCACTGAACAATCTCTCCGTGAAACTGTCTTTGGCTCTTATGACTTAAATCTTGCATTTGAATCTCTACTTCTTCTCTGTCACAATGTCCTCTTCCTCTGACTGCATCTTTGATATTAGGTTTCTCCAAGTTGCCATCTTGGTCCCCATTTTCCACTGGGTGATCTTACGTGCTATCCCATTTCAGTGACCATTTACATGCTGGTAGCTCTAAAATTGTTTTTCTAGGTCAAATTTCTCCTGAACAGCAGACTGCTTTATCCACCTGCTAACTAATCTATGTCCAAGGCTCCCCACTGAGCATTAAATTATTAAATTCCTGCAGTGCCACCAGAGTATTTGTTTCAAAATTCTAATAGCATATAGTTTAGGAAAAAATACATATGAACCAGAGTTAATGTTAAATATGGGAGAAGGGAGTGTAAACAACACAACAAGAAGCAGTCAAATCCAGAATGTGAGACATTCTACAGAATAAAATGACTAGTTATTCTTCCACAAATGACATAGAAGATGGGGTAGGAGGGAAAGCTGGAGAATATTACAGATTTTAAAAGTTTAGATATAACATTTGCAATATTTGGCTCTTATTTGAATTCTGACTTAAACCAGTAATAAAAAGACATTTTTTAAGGAAATTTAAGTATAGAGTGGATAATAGATGATAACAAGGAGTTATTTCTAGTTTACATAGTTTAATAATTGCTTTATAATTATGTTAAAAGAACCATATGTTAGAAATGCATACTGGTATATAATGATACAAGATTAACAAAAAGTTATTGCACCTGAGTGTTCATTTTTGTTTTTTCTAATTTTTCATATAATTGAGATTTTTAAAAAAATTAATATGAAAAGGCAGGTCAATTAAAAAGGGGGGGAAATGAAATAAGAAAAAGAAATTCTACCATCCTGGGAATGCTTGTTTACAGAACCAAAGGGCTATCTGGGGAAAGTCCTTGACTCTGACAATCAATCTTGGCAGCAAATCTGGGTTTATCTTACACACACATCCTCTGTTTCTCTGCAACACATATGAAGCACTCAGATGACTTCTCAGGGACAGGAAGTCGTAGAATTTTGTTATTTCTGTTAAGAGCACTGACACTTAGCAGTACTATCCTGCAACAAGGCAGTTCCTCAGTCCCAGAGTCATTCATTGCTGCCATCAAATTGCAACTTAATACTAGTGGCCAAAGGCCTATGTTCCACTAGCATTAGTAATAAAGTAGGTAGCCACAACTTTTGATTATGAAACCATTTTGCTGGACAATAAACTTGATGCTTTCAGGGGCCACTTTTTCCTAGTCACTGTTGAAAACCAGTGACTAGCATGGCACCTGGTCCCTCATAAGCATGAAGATTTAATTGAACTGAAACCCTAGCAGAAAGGGACCACAATAATTTGAATGCCACTTCAGCATAGTGAAAAATTGTGCTGACAGATTATGACGATAAATTTAGGACTACTTTCTCAAGACTAATCCTTTTCCAGTCACTAGAAATTTGGTAATTAGGAAAAGAAACAGATGAGAGGAAGTACAGGGTTAGTAGAATCCCAAAGCATCAAGTCAAGGTTACATTAGGAAAGAAGAGTTTTTATTTTACTCAGCTCCATGTTTAATATAACATTAAAAAATAAACAAAAACAAACCTTTTCCCTGCCCTTTTTATCCTTACCCTTCACATATCCATATGCCTCAAAATGTGAGGAAGCTAACTAACAAGCTCCAAATCTGTAATTACTAAGGTTATATCTGGTAACATGTAATATACAGGTCCCTATGTTTTCCCTCCTTTGCCTAGAAATGAAACTAGTAAACAATGTCACTTACATGTCCGTATTATTAATTTAATGAGTAATTCCTCATTTGAAGCCCCTACCCCTTGGTATGAGAATTAATAAGATAAAAAATACCAAACCATTTTAAAGTTCTGGAAAGAAAGGCACTATGAAAACATGAGGTATCATTGCTTGAATTGGTAAAAATACAATTTAAACCTTAATTCTTTAGTAATTTTTAGGACCAAGATCATAATAAAAGTCTCAGGGGTTTCAAGAGAAGATCATCCTGATTTTCTGTCCTCACTACTCTTTTCAGTGCTATTGTAAGCTCCTTGACTGTCTAACCAAGACATTTCCTAATCACCAGTTACATTTTGACTTTGCCTCATCTTTATTTAGTACACAATTCCATGACTGTAACATCATGAAATCAATTCCTAGAAGTCACAAAACAAGATTTTTGACGTGAGGGGATGTCTCTTCTTGATAAGATATTGGCGTTCTCATCGCAGAGATTTCTTGAGTGAAAACAATAGGAGGATGAAGGATGGTGAGATTTTTTTTTTTCCCTAAAGAAAAATATCAATAAAACAACCCTGTTGACTCTTTGGGGTCAAGGCCAGAGAAATGGACACCTTATCCCATTCATCCTCTTCCTCTGATAAAGCCCCAACCCATACTGAAAAGTGTCCATAAAAGTCAAGAGGACTTTTTTTTTTAGTGCTTGAAAAAGAAGAGGACAAAGGAAAACTGGTATTAAGAGAATTTTCCAGTCTGTTCCTGGTGCCTGGCCCAGAAGGATGCCCCAGTTCCTGCTTCTCATTTGCCTCTTCATCACAATCATGCCTGTGTCACCAATGGGTGAGTCTGTGTCAAGTATTTGGCACAATATACTTTTTGGATTAGGAATTTGTATTATATACCTATTATTAAGAGGCTGGATTCCAGCATCTTAAATACTTTGAATAGCATAAGATATATTTTCAGAGAATTTGTTTCATATTCCACTTAGCCTCTTTTCTGGGCAAACAAAATTTCCATGGTTCTAACATATCCAACAACTTCCCGCTGGCTAAAATACATCTTGACATAGCTGTGAAAGGAATTTAACCTCTTTATTTTCTAGGCACTTTTATAGTTCCAACTTTAAGAGAAAAAAAAGACTTTTAAAGTTGAGGATAGTTTTTTCCTTAATGAACACAAGGGATTGAATGTTCTGTCCCCAATAAAAGGCACAGATCTGGCTAAATCAAACCTCTCCAGTCTTGACATCTGAAAAAAAGACTTTATACAACACAGACCAAGTAAATTATAAATTGTCTCCTTCCTTATCTTGGCACAAAACTGGTCAACTAGGCAAAGAAAAATTTCAGTTGCAGTTAATAACAAATTTTTCTTTCCTTTTTCCAATAATTTAATTGGAAGAGATGGTAAGAGGAAGTTGAGATGGAGAGAAACATTTTTCTTAGCACTTTTGAGCAGCTAAATATTTAACTGACCTACTTATTTCTTCAGGGTAACTCTGGCCTTTAAGAACACACGTTAA